CCATATGTTTTGGCTTTAAATTCCCATAAGACTCTGCCAAAGGTCAGGAATTATCCAAATTGCCTATCCCTGCTTAACAATGAATATCTATCACTTTTCAATATGTGTGTGTATGTTTGCATCTCTATGTGTGTGTCAAGGATGTACAATGCGTTAGAAAGAGGTGGTTTGCCAGGCACACTGGCAACACGTTTCTATGAAGCATTAAAGCAGCTGTATCTTCTAGACCAGTTAATGCAGCTACTTCAAAAGCTTTTTCAGGCTGTCTGCAAATGCATGTGTGTGCACAGCCACTTCATTTCTGTTCCAGTGGCGCTGTTGTCTATGCATTTGCACACATGCACAGAGAGCCAAAGAGAGATTTTGAAGAAGCTGTGTTGCCTCTTCCAGAGGATGTAGCTGTTTTAACACACGAATGGGTTTTACATTATGTACCTTATGTTTTGCACAACCCTAACACATGTTCATCACGCCTAGATATTTAAAATTTATATTTACATCTAGAGAAATATGTAATCTAAATGATAACTACTTCCTGTGAATCAATGCTTTTATATGAGCGTTCAACTCATTAAGAGCAATTTAAAGACACTTGAAAATTCCTGAAAAATAAACTTTCGGCTCACAAGATAAAGATTGCATTTTTGTATATTTTGCATAATTACTGCTTTTAAATTTCTGCATTCTTCATAACACATTTGGAATTCATTCAATAATGCAATGCAGTGCAAGACTACATTCATATGTACACACTTGGTTGCAATATATAACAGGATCCAGGATTTTCTTCAAGTTCAGTGGCTGATTCATATTGTTCTACAAGCCAGCAAACAAAGGTGATAAGAAATTTTGCAGTGGAAATGCAAATCACAATCTACATTAGTTGGACCATATCTCCCTTATCTAGATAAGTGCAGTCCAGTAACTCTGTATGTCATTGAGTCAAAATTGCACAGGAAAAAAAAATCAGGTTAGGCACTAGAGACAGACAAGGAAGCAATTTATCATCTTTTCTCCTGCTTCAGATACATTGTGTACTTTACAAAGGAGGAGGAGAGATACAATCACTCTTCTATTTCTAAATATGGGACTGGAAGAGAGAATGTAGCAAAGATTGTATAAACAGCAAGATTCCAGACAAGTCCCCTAAAGAGCAGAAGCTGGGCACGTTTTTGCTTTTCTTTTATTTCAAAATTCAGACTGACCTGATGTGATCATCCCAGTGCAGAAATACCCGTAAAACAATTCCTCCCATGTCTGTTGCCATAACTGGAAACCCCAGAAGCTCTAAAAAGCAGCATACTTGAATAGCTGGCCTTCTGCTTTCACTGATAGTGGAAACTGATCCCCAGTGTGTCTTCAAAGATACCTTTCATGTATTTATCCTAAACACTGTCATGTATTATATCCTGATAATTAATCCAATGTTTCAGAAACTTCAGGTATATAACCATTATTGGAACAATACAAGTTTTAATTTCCTTCCTTCCTTCCTTCCTTCCTTCCTTCCTTCCTTCCTTCCTTCCTTCCTTCCTTCC